GCTAAAATATTTCGGCTTAGTTGTCTCATGTTGTTTCAATTGACGTGCAAATATTGTTTTTTGAGAGTATTGAGTGCGACAGTGACTTTTGATAAGTCTTAAACCTTGTTGATTTTATTTCGGCTTGAAAAGTTTTGCTAAGGTATTTGCTACCGCTTGGGAAATTATATTCCGATGCGACATTCTATTGTCTCGGCTTGTTTTTTTTCAAAAGTAGCCTTATATCTGATCTAGTTTTTTTTCGATAATTTCGTTGGTTTTTTGTCATTTTTTTGTAATATAACACAGGTGGTGCTTAGCAAAGCTTCGCCTCTGAGGTTTTAAATTACTTGTTTTAACAATAACTGCAGTCGATTTTAAAAAACTAAGCAAAAAGAATAGCAAAAAAAAATAAATTCATGTACACAAACCATACAAGACTGTTCGTAGTGCCTAGAGGTTTGCATCTGTTTTAATTCGAATCCCTATATCACATCCAAAAATTTTGATACGCGAATGGAACAGCACAAGCTCTGATCACAATCAATTTTAAAATAAAAACACTAAAAAATCAAATTTGGTTTTTTCCTTTTTTGTTTCACTTTTGTGCGTGGTTCGGGTAGAGGTAAAAAAGATTTTAATATACTTAACAATGGTTTTATTTGACTCCAATTATCTATACAAAAAAGGTGACCAGTGACAAAAGATGTCAAAAATTTTGAGTATTGTATCCAACTGGATGGCATGAATAATTTGATAGTAATAAAAAGTAAAAGAAAAATGTTCACTTTGAAAATAAAATTGACAGTTTTTTGGTATCAAAGCATGACTCAAAGTTGAAAATTCTTTGGCAAACTTGGACCATAAAATTTTTATCACATACTCATGCAATGAAGTAGGCATTTTATTACCAATATTATAATACTACAAAATGCTGCCATCAAGATATCCTAGTTATGAATGCAAGTCCTGCATTCAACAGTTAAACAATTTTTTGGTGTAAAAGTTAATGGTTTAGCCAAAAAAACAGAAACAAACAAAAACGGAGCCTTCTCAAAATTAAACGTTTAGGTAATTTTTTTATTTTAAACGGATTTTTTGCACAGATTTTTTGCCATTTGTAAACAAAAAACTGAGTTATAATCTGAAAAAAAAGTATTTTTCAAGATTAGCTTGAAAATCCTGTGAAAAAATTAAACAAACAGCTTCCATGTTTTTATGAAAAAAAATGGATAACTTAACAAAAATGAAGTTATTTGTATGCATCAAAACCAAAAAAAAAGAAAACTCTTAATACAAAAACCTGTAGAAGCAAAACAACAATCGCTTATAGTATACGCCTACTTTCCAGTTTTCTTGTATTTTTTGACTATAGTTTAATTGCTGCTCTCAACAATTGAAACCTTTTTGAATTCACCATCTAGCTGAACAACAACTTCGAAGAAGAAGTTCTACTCAAGACAATCAAGAAATGTTTTGCTCGTTAAATGCTAAAAAAACATCTTTGTTTATTGATCATTAACCCAGACAGGCTACTTAGAAGCAAAAAGTTTTGCTCAAAGGCATCGCTTTTTGTGGCTTCTTACGTTGTTTTTATTCTAAACATAATTTTCAGTTTAAATATTTCTACTTCTGTGATAACAAGGGTATTGCAATCGGATATAAGCCTTTTTTGTTCTTGTAAACAAATTTGTCCAGACTTCAGCTGATGCAATACATGACATCGTGCGTCGTATATTTGCGCTCCTTGATCTACTAATCTCACTGTGCATCTTTATTAGTGTTACAGTTCAACCTTTTTACATATTTCTTTGGTATTTTTTTTGAGTTTTCGACTTCGTCGTTTTCGATTTGCTTTTTGTCGACTTAGTTTCCGCTTTGATTTTACAATTCATTTAATTGTTCATTGTAACATAACTCGTTTTTGGTGTTCTCATTTACCTCTGCTGTTTCTTTGTATTTTTTTAAAACCTTGACAGCGTATATATTTCTTTTTTGTTTCTTTTTTCGATTAAAACTTTATTCTGCCCAAATAAAATTCCGCCTTATTTTTATCGGCTTAGTGACCTAACTTCAAGTTATTTCAATGGAAACATGATTTTGTTGCTTATCTGTGGGTCGGAAAAAAAGCAAAGCATCATAATAGAAATTATAATTCCAATTATTCATGACAACAATTTTTTCGTCGAATTTTTTTTTCAACTTGATAGATTTTGCCTTATATTATATCGATTTATCGGCCTCATATTGCGTTTTTCGACGAGCAAAAAAACTTTGGGCGTATGTGTATGCATGTGTGTGTTTTGAGGGCTTGGAGTCCTAATAACTGTTTATTAGTCTTGTTTTTTTTGGGCTAAAATATTTCGGCTTAGTTGTCTCATGTTGTTTCAATTGACGTGCAAATATTGTTTTTTGAGAGTATTGAGTGCGACAGTGACTTTTGATAAGTCTTAAACCTTGTTGATTTTATTTCGGCTTGAAAAGTTTTGCTAAGGTATTTGCTACCGCTTGGGAAATTATATTCCGATGCGACATTCTATTGTCTCGGCTTGTTTTTTTTCAAAAGTAGCCTTATATCTGATCTAGTTTTTTTTCGATAATTTCGTTGGTTTTTTGTCATTTTTTTGTAATATAACACAGGTGGTGCTTAGCAAAGCTTCGCCTCTGAGGTTTTAAATTACTTGTTTTAACAATAACTGCAGTCGATTTTAAAAAACTAAGCAAAAAGAATAGCAAAAAAAATAAATTCATGTACACAAACCATACAAGACTGTTCGTAGTGCCTAGAGGTTTGCATCTGTTTTAATTCGAATCCCTATATCACATCCAAAAATTTTGATACGCGAATGGAACAGCACAAGCTCTGATCACAATCAATTTTAAAATAAAAACACTAAAAAATCAAATTTGGTTTTTTCCTTTTTTGTTTCACTTTTGTGCGTGGTTCGGGTAGAGGTAAAAAAGATTTTAATATACTTAACAATGGTTTTATTTGACTCCAATTATCTATACAAAAAAGGAAAAAGGTGCTGGTACACCGCCAAGTAAAAATCGACAGCCAGTTTTTTCTTTAATCTTTTTCTTGCTTAAGTTGTTCAATTTGGTTCAGAAAAAGTACTCTTCTAGCCAATTTTTTTTACTACACATTTTGATTTTGCCGTGTTACACGCCCATATATAAGAGTAAATAGAAAAAACGTTTTCCCGCTCAACAACCAGTAAATTTTTATAAGAATTGAGAACCAATCACTGATAGGTTTGGAGCAAGCATTATCCAAAATTCTAACTTTTAAAAGCATTACCTAAAAAAAATTTCAAATGAAATGAATTGTAAACTTTAATTGTTAACATTAGATCATTTTGATTTTCTCTGAATTACAAAATTATAACTAATCACATTTTTTCAAGCGCAACAAAAAATAAATGGCCCTTGAATTTTACAATTCAATCATAAGCAAGCTACATTTTTTGTGTCCCCGAAAAAAGCTTGAATCGGGAGATCTGCCTGATTTTTGTAATTGCCGTTATCGCTTTGCTTATCATTGATTGAAAAAACAGTTTCCATTTTTGACTTCATTCTTTTGCGTTAAGCAGTGTCATTGAAACATTATTTTGCAACTATACTTCTAGGATTTGCTTGTTCTCTTTTTTAGTTAAAAAAAGTTGGCCTTGTTAAACAACAAATGTAAACGTTAATTGACCTTACTAAACGTTAATTTTTAAAGATCCGTCAAATAATTTTTTTTCAAGGACAATTGCTTTAAAATTTCTCATTGTACAATTTTTTTTGTACAATCATGTTGTGCTACCTCCGCTTGTAAAAGATGAACTGTTTGGTTATTTCAAGTTATTAGAAACTAACGGCTTACTTGCTGAAAAGTCCCATTTTCTCAAAAACGTAACTCTTTCTCTCTGCTTGTATTGATTGAGATAATTACTACCAATATTTGAGCTGCACCAGAGAAACCAAAAAAAAACTTGGATAGTCATTTTTCGACATAAAGAGCTATCCAATTTGTTTATCGAGTTATGACTGTCAAATATGCCTTAGTTCTATTTTTTTTGTACAGATCTTTTTATCACACCACGCAGAAAAAACGACACCAATTCGATTTTTTTTAAAATAAAGACAAAGGTTGTAATTTTCTGTGCTACATGCATTAACCCTCTTGCTTTTCTTGACTGTGCAGTTTTTCAATGAAAAATTAATTGTAGTTTAAAAATCAGTCAGTTTAGGTGTTGTCGCATTAGTTTCTGCAGCATGAAATCTACTCAAAATCAAGTTTAAATTACAATACTTGAGTCAGTTTGATAGTTTCTCGTTTTTTAACAATTAAAAATCTCGGATTGTATTTAGTGTATTGTTTCATTTTTTAACATCAAAATGTCATTTGACTCAAACAGTTTCGGCTGTGATATTGCCATAAACGCTTCATATGGCGTCATTTTGAGCTTGATAATAGATTTAACAGCTAATGATGCACTGCAAGTGACCCGGAGATCCATTTTGCATGAGTTTGCTTTTCTTCGCCAAAACGATTACCCTCGGTTACTTCAATTAACGAACGCTAGTAGATCTACGGATTCAAAGTTAATTTTTGTTTTTTCAGCTTTTAATAGTTCGATACCATCTTTCAAGGTAAAAAATTGGAGTCGGAGGCAGTTTTACCAGTACTTTTGTGAGCAAATTGAATTTTTTTTTTCATTAAGATTAAGACAGCGGAAGTGAACTATCTGCTGTTTCCTTGTATTGTTATTTGTATCTTGTTTATGCAATGTCATTTTGTGTATCATTTCAGCGCATTATTTTGAACTCATGATAGCCATTTAAGTTGTTCATTTTAGTGTCAGAAGCAAAACTGTGCAGCTGCACTGCCTCAGTCATATTACTTGATGCCACGCCCCCTCTGAGCGCCACTCATATCCCAGCAAGGTAACTATCGAATAGCTAACTCACACCTAGGACAAACTGTTCCATGTTCCACCACGCTTGTGAATTCAATACATTGCGCTATGTTTCAGGACGAAGACTACGATGGTCACAAAGTGTCCTCAGCAGCAAAAAATGCGAAAGCTACTATGCGACTAGTTGAGCTGTCCACGCCCAAAAGAATCACCACTACAAAACAAGATACGAATTGCTATTACAATATCAAACTCAGCTACATACTCAACAACAGTGAAATAACTCGAAATTTAACTCAAAACAGCTAAACTTTGTGTTTGAAACCAAAATACTAAATTCCGCATAAGAGTACCTCGATGTTTTTCTTGTTTTTTTTTCTTCCCTCGCTTAATTTCGGACTTGTGCTACCATAATTCCTCTGACAGCTACAAATTGTGATTTTGCATAAAATTTCTCTTTGTCTAATATCTAGAAAAGTTTCTGCGTGAAAAAAATGTGAAAACAAAAAAAACCCTCAATTTTGGTACCTTTAGAAATTTTTTTGTTAGCTTGTTCAACCAGGCAAATTATGTTGAGTTTCACTTCAGCTCGGGTACACTCCTTGTAGATGCTGAGAGCTCAACACAGATTTGCTTGGTAGTGCCATCATCAGATGGTAATTTTCTTGAATCGTTGCTTTTTGCAAAATAAGTTTGAAGAAACAAATTTTTTTTTTCTCTCCAACAAATTGTTGACAATACAATGAAGAATCATATCAAACAGACTAAAGGCTGACTGTAAAGTGGGCACTAGTCCCGTTGTCTGTCCTCTCCGAGTCTCTTTCATAAAACAAGGTGCGAGTAAATTCTTGATGTAATTTTTGTTGAATTTTCTTACTTCGAAATGATTTGGAGAAATACATTTTTTTATTCTGATCTGGCAAAATTCGCAATTTCATGTATCTCTAATCTGCTCATTTTGTAATCGGTCCATGTTAAACTTATTGGCGATGATTTTTTTGTTAAGTTTGATTTTTTTTGCGATTTCTTCGAGAATTTTGAATACGCAATTCTGCGATTCTGATTGGCTGAAAATAACTGAAAATCACTTTCCAACTTTTCATCCCTCCATCACGAGGGACGCCACCTAACAAACTCATCTCTTTCGTAAAGATGATAAATGCTAACTAAGTTGCTCGCAGTTAGGCAAGCATAACTGATGTTGTTTATTTTCAGCCCAGTGAGCAGGCGAAGAGTGCGACTGCGTCTGCACGCACTGAACAGCTGAGCAAGGCGAAGAGACGCAACGCGCTGGTCAGTTGTGGCGTCATGATAGACAGTCACGGTCACACCCATCACCAAAAGTACCACTTCATCCACATGCGCACCCTCTGACTCATCACACACACACACTCTCTCTCTCTCGCGATCCCTCATAGATTGTGTTCATGCAAGGCAAACCATCGGACTCTTTTCCAATGCATCAAAGCCCCTCTAATTTTTTTAAATATTCCATATCTATGCTGGACATCCAGCAATTCGAGACCATAACTAACCAAAACATTGATAACGTCGTAACTTACCCATTTTTATCCCTGTTTTGACTAATAGAACTTAATTATGGGGAAGAGAAGCGTGATTCATAAGCCAGAGCATTCAAAATATCTAAAACCCAAAATGAAGTATTTTAACTCAGACTTTGGGTTGGCGTTGGCAGTGGATAGGAAAAAGCCCAGAGAGTTGTTCACATTATGTTGCATCTAATCTTTTTTCTCGTAAATCTCAAACCTTAGCATGTGTTGTTTCGTATTTTGAATACTTTGTTTTGTCAGAAAAACCATTTATCATCATATGGATATCATTAGTGCTTCATGGAACATCCCTTTAGTCACTCAAATTTAACTTTCTGCATGCGTTAACTTTGACTTTTGATTACCAGGTCGACTCATGATTTAATTGAAACGGTCAAAGAATGTCCTTTTTTAGGGGTGTTTTTGACACATTTTTCGTTTTCAAACAGCGTTTTTGTTCAGTTATGTGGGTTTGAAAATTGACAATTTGACTGATGTATGAAAAGTTATTCGCGCGAACTTTCCAATTTTCTTCCAACTAGTAGCATAGACAGCAAAATCATACGGCTCAGAAATCAATCCAAGTTGATTGAGGGCCGCTAATTGATCAAAATATTGCGCAAAACTCATAAGTCAGAGCAGGGGCGGATCTAGGATTTTCTCGAGGGGGGGGGGCGGATTTTCAAAAAATTTTCCAAAATTTTGACGACCTTTTTTTTGGGTCGACCAAATTGAATTTTCGAGCTCTCCCAAAGCATTGTTTCGCCCCTATTTTGGCTAAATTTTCTGCGCCGTAGGCAAATTTTTGAAAAAACAGTCAAAGCGCTCCCCCTCAAAGTTAGTATATATTGGCGCCGAAGGTGCCTTTAGAAAAATTTTAGAGTCGGTCGGCCAAAAATGGATTTCTGAAAAAGTATCAAAGGGGGGACCCTTTGGGTCGGCAGGGGGTCGAATCCCTGAGAAGGCGGCGTCCGCCCCCAACCCCCCCCCCCCCCCCCCACCCCCCAAATCCGCCCCTGAGTCAGGGGCACAGAACAAAACGAGCATACTTGTAATATGGAATCCAACATAAATGCAAGTAGAAAAAATTGCTTATGTTTCACAAACCAAGTTAACATCAGCCCCCTTTCCTCCCCCCAAAAAAATCGGTTCGTATTTTCGCTCGTTTGCTCAACTCCAACTGACTAAACGCATATTGTAATTGGAGGCTTGGAAGCCCTATTTCGGATTTCGGCTTCTAGCTCACTGCTTATTGTTATTTCTACGTTCTCTGTCAACTCGCCAACTCATTCACGCGGACCGCCATATACATATTTCTCGCCAGCTCATCTGGAAACGGTGGCGGGTCGCCATATACATGTTTTCAATTTTTTAAAACTTGCTTTGGATTTTGTCGTACACGCGGGTGTAGTTTTGCAGTCAACATACCAATCAACTCTTGGTCACTCTTTTGCATATTATTGTTCTGACAATTTGAAAAAGGGGAGGAATTTTGTTTTCGGGTGTGTTTTTTCCACGCAAAATCAGGAACAAAAAAATCATTGGAATGGGTCGAGTGACATATCATATTGAAGCCCTTCCAGTCGTAATTCGAACAATATTGAAAAACTCGAAACAATTTTTCTCAGTGTTCGAGAAACACCGGTTTGAAATATTTTTGATTTTTGCTCCATTTCAGCTCCCAATCCCTGTGTTAACGAAAAGTTGTGCTACCTATCTTTTCACGGTCACAAATTTAGTCCCACTTTTCCCAAGTTTTTAATAGTGAACTGAGTAACTTTTCACTTTCGCGCCAACGGCACATCACCCCCTCTGCTTACTACTAAAATATCATCAAAACGCTCCTGAACCCAGCCACGGGTAGGAGAATATTATCCATCACCTTGTAAAATTCATTCTTAATTTCATCAATAAAACGCAGCCCTTAATCGTTATCGACAGCACTACAAAAGTGCACCTTACCAAGTGTTTCGTTTGTTTGCTCAACGCCAACTGAATATACATTTTCCGTAGGGTGAAGCTTGAAAAGATATTTTTTAGCGCACCGCTGATTATTCTTGCCAGGTTGTCTACCAATTCTTTCATATTTGGCATTCGTTAGCAGATCATTTGCGATATTTTTGTCCCATTCTGCCAGGGGTTAATTATCTTCAGGGGTTGACATGATAGATAATGCCCAGCCACATATGTTACCTCGCCATTGAAATGAAACCCAGCGTACCATTCTGCTCAAGGTCCTTTCCGCATTTTTTGGTGGACAAACTTGAGATCAGGGCCTTATGGTCCGTTATTACTGTAAGATGCCCGCCAAATAGGTACTTTTTGGAAGTGTCTGGTCACCGAGGTTACGCTCACTATTTTAGCTCTTTTTGGCTCTTTTGCCCCCTTTTTGCTCTAATTCAGCTCATAAACCCTGATTGGATGCATCTCCTTTAAACGGTGTCTCGCAGTTCACATCGAAATGCCTTTTTATAACAAAGTCTCTGACCTATCTTCGTAGTAGTTAGAACATAGTTGAAAGATGCCCGAGGGAAAAAGAGCCCGGCCTGAGGGCACGAAGGACCCGAGTGCGGCTTTTTGCCCGAGGCCATCTTCAACTATGTTCTAACTGTTGAAGAGTATCTTTTTGCTCTTTCTGAGAAAAAGATGCCAGAAAATTGTCAAAGAGCGCGGAAAAGTGCGCGAAACTATGCAAATAATTTCATTTTTCTATCATGCCTTGTCACGAAAGAACTTGTGTGAAAGGGCAAAAACATACTCTTCTATTACGACAAAAGCTTTTTCAAAGTAAATTTATTCCCAATTTTTCCGGGCACTTTCTAGGAGATCTTCCAATGCACGTGCACTTTTGATTTGAAGCAATGAATATTTTTCCGCTTCGAGCCAACGCGCGTCACGCTCCCTCTGGTCCCTGCTAGAATATCGTGCAAATACAGCTGCATCCCCGATAGGCTTACAACTTAGTATCCATCACTACGTGAAACTAGATCCGAATGTCGTCCAGCGTAATGCGACAACTCGTAACGTTTTGCGAGCTTGCCAACAGAGGCTAGGACTGAATAAGAAATTTAGAGCCGGTTATCGGCGACCTCAAACAAAATTTCTTGCTTTCCTGTATTTTTTCGAGTTGTCCTTCGTTGCAAGTTGCCGCATTACCGTCGTCCGTGCTATAAAATTCGGCTATGAATTGTTATCGATCTCCTTAAAAAAGGGACTTTACACTGTCTTTCCTTTTAATCCTCAACGCCAATTGAATAAAAGCAGATTAATGTTCAAAAGTATATTTTGTCTTCTCATCAGCCGCTGATTTTCTTGGTCACTATGTCTATCAACTTTTCCATGATCGACATCTGGTAGCAGTTGCAATATGTTTGTTTGTTGCTCACCTTAAGAGCAACAATCAAATTCACCTGTCCTTCTCACATCGCTGTCATCACAATCGAAGCTATTAGACTCTGCTGATTGTAAAGACTCCATCCACTGTAGTTGCATTGGTATCAACTTATCATGGAAAACAATTTTGATACTACTTAATCCTTTGATTAAATTCTTCAAAACTTAACACCAGTTTAACATCACAAAAATTTAACATCAGATAAAATCAGCTTTCCGTAATTGACCCGTAAGTTGATATTTTCAACTCCAAATTTTTGCATTAAAGCCGTCGATTGTTTTTAGGTGTGCCTTTTCATATTGTTTGAAACCGCTCTAATCTTCGTGCTTCTAGTAGTAAAAGTTTTTGGCATGAAGTTAGTACTGGCTTACTTTGAAACCATTCGGCTGCCAAAACGGATTTTTCACTCTGTCGCTCAGTAAGAGATTATGTCTAGAACGACTTTCATCATCTTTCTGATTTTCTTCTCATCCATGTGTTTCTTCCCACCCTGCCCTTTACTGCTACTGCGCTAGCAGTAACGTAACTTTGAGGGATATATATTTATGTATGTATGATAATACCTATGTCTTATTATATATAAAACATTGTCCAAGGTCACCGGAGTGCAAACCTCGGTAAGCAGCTGAAGAAATCAGTCAGTCATTTAACTACGCTGATATCATCCGGACTTGGAGAAAACAATTAAACAAAAATAGATAAATATAGTTTTTTGCGATTAAAAATTAGTTTTATCTCAAGTCAGTCGCGTAGGATATCAAAATGTCATAGATATGTCTACTCACCCAAATCACCAATGCACCGAAATTATTTTTGGTCTCAGTCGTCTCGCCTTCTCCGCCGGCGTTTCAAATTTGTCATGCTCTCCCATTTATCCTTGCCCTATTGACAGCCTTGATTGTTTCTCCTCGTACCCTTCCCTTTGCCTTCCGCATGAGTAGGATGCTACCACTGGGCATGCTTCTTCATGGTCCGCTTTCCCTCCATTTCCGCAACTAAAACATTTGGATGCGTCCAATGTGTTTACTTCTTAATCTCCTTCTTATTTGATCTCTCTCTCTTTCTCTTCTAGTTATTGCCCAATAGCTTTAATAATATTTGTCCCGCAATATGATCCTTTCCTTTTGCCACCGAAATTGTTCGTATAGCTATTCAAAGGTGACTGGCTCCTCCTCTTTCTGGTGTTCCTTCTGTTATATATGATTGTGTATTCCAGGGCTCTGTCAGCAGTTAGTCTCTCTCTCTCTCTCTCTCTCTCTCTCTCTTTTCTCCTCTCCTCTCCTCTCTCTTCTCTCTCCTCTCTCCTCTCTCCTCTCTCCTCTCTCCTCTCTCCTCTCTCTCTCTCAAAC